TCCTTTTTTTTTTTTTTTTTTGGTAAACAGTTTGTCTGAAGTAGCATATTTGAAGACTAATTCTGAGAAAAGAAGAAACTTTTTCTCAGTATGAATGTCTGCCAAATTCAAAACTCTGCATGCCAGAAATACCAGGCCAGTTAATCTACGTCAAGTTCAAACAAGCATTAATAAATTCTGGTGAAAATTCTGAAGGAATGGTAGCAAATTTGTCTACATTTTGCAACTGTGCTGTTCAATTTTTTATCCCCTATCCAAATGTAATATGTACATATATTAAATTTCCATATATGAACTACATTGTCATATGAAGTAAACATATGAAATCTATTAGATAAATAACATATATCTCTAACCTATATAAATATGTATTTTTAAGATATCTGTAATAGATTTTAAGACATGATCAATCCATCGTAAAACCTGTAAGTACATGTAAAGCAGTACAGAAAGATGGACATGTATTTAAAATATTACAAAAACATATAAACATACAGATTTTTGTATACATTTACATTTATTCATTTAGCAGATGCTTTTATCCATTGCATACATAAAATATTAACATACATGGTTGCTGCTTATAATACCATATAAAAAAATCATCATATAAATATTAATAGCATATGTACTAGCATATGTAATAGGGTAAATGTTTTAACTGAGATTGTATTCCTTTTTTTACGTGTTATATGTATTGTAATATATGTTTGTATGTTTCTCAGGAGACATTAATCCTCCTGTCAGGCTGTTATTGAAAATAAGAACTTGTTTTTAATTAACTTGCCTGGTTAAATAAAAGTAAAAAAAAAGTACATAGAAAACAGTTATTTTAAATTGTAACAATATTATGTAACAATATTGTAACAATATTTCACAGTAGTACTGTTTTACTGTATCTTCGGTCAAATAAATGCAGCCAAAAAGACTTCTTTCATAAAATTAAAAAAACCTTAATTATTTCAAACATTTGACTGGTAGTGTACCTTTTTTTTAAATGAGATACATGTAGCCTGTTGTTCCTAGTGATTGGTGCAACTCAATCACTGGACCATCATCATTAACAAACAGACGATTCTAAAACAAGAGCTGAATCAAGAAAACGAATCAGGAATCAACTCTTTAGAGTCAATTCCAAAATGCATGGCTTAGCCTATACTGTGTTTTACCAAAAAAATAACATTATCTGGGTTTGGAACGACATGAAGGTGAATAAATAATGACAGAACTCTCATTTTTGGGTGAATGAACGTTCACGAGAGTCAAACTGTGGCATCTAAGCAGGGCTCTGGCTTTCAGCTCCACAGCAGCGAACCACATTTTCATCTCTTTCAGGAAGAGGTTCTGTTTTCTGTTGACAATGAAAAGATCTCACATCCCTCTGTATTATGGTAAAAAATGTTCCAAGGGCAACAAGTCCGTATGAAAATTGCATTTCTCATTTTGAGTGGACAGAAGCTCATTTAAAACAATGTACGAGACTATTTTGATGCGTCTGAATGCTTTAGGTTCATATGCATTTGATCATGATATCTGTTCCCTTGAGGGCCACTTATAATGTGAAAAACAGAATTCTTCGCCACTGTATCTTTGTAAATAGCCTCACTGAATATGAATAGGACAGAGTACATGAAGTGCAGTTTTAGCTCCAACATCCCAATCCAGCTTCTGTGCAAAAATGCATGGCAGGTTCACAAAACAATGCACTCAGAAATGTGGCGCTCGAACATAAAGATCCGACTGAAATGATCAGGGATAAAAATAAGCTTGCTAATGCTAATGTATTCATTAAGTTAACGTCAGAAATATCCAGAAGTTCAGAATGAGTTGTTTTGCATGTTTATCTTAAAGGGGTCATATGATTCGATTTCAAGTTTTCCTTTCTCTTTGGAGTGTTACAAGCTGATTGTGCATAGATAAGATCCCTGAAGTTGCAAAGACTAAAGTCTCAAAACCAAAGAGATATTCTTTATCAAAATTAAGACTCTGCCACGCCCTCCTAAAACGGCT